TGACGCTCCGCTTAATATTCCCCTCTATGAATGTGCGTTCCACTCGTGTACCGCTCATGCTCACCGGAAAAGCAAAGTTCGCTCAAATAACGCGCAGAGGCCTGAAATGCTCCAGGAAAGCTCTTTTCATGCCGAGCTGATCAAAATGACCACAGCTGATCACAGTTGAAAGGCAAATGGCTTTGTGTGCCATTGTGAAGGTGATTAGCTACACCTGATTGAGTTTAAAAGTCATTTTTAGGAGGGGGTGATACTTTTTCCAGCTCAGTGATTCTTTTTTTTTTTCTGACATGTTGGTGTTTCACTTGGATGTTATAAGTTGCACGGAGTAAATACAGCTGGATAAAACAAAAACTGTGACCGTCTACATTTCAGGCTGCAAAGCAACAAAATGTGATTATTTTAAAAGGGGGTGATTCTTTTCTTTACCCACTGTACCTTGAAAGCTGTAGGAGAAGATGGGAATTTTGGTTTTGGATTATTAAGCCAACATAATGTTTGATGTTTGTTCCCACACTTTATCAGAGATGATCAATACCTGCTGCCTCAGTTTGCCTCCACCACTTTTCAAATTGTTTACCCCTGAATGCTGCTTTTACAGTAGACCACTAACACTACATTTATTCACTGGCTCAGCAACAAAATGTGATTATTTTAAAAGGGGGTGATTCTTTTCTTTACCCACTGTACCTTGAAAGCTGTAGGAGAAGATGGGAATTTTGGTTTTGGATTATTAAGCCAACATAATGTTTGATGTTTGTTCCCACACTTTATCAGAGATGATCAATACCTGCTGCCTCAGTTTGCCACCACTTTTCAAATTGTTTACCCCTGAATGCTGCTTTTACAGTAGACCACTAACACTACATTTATTCACTGGCTCAGTGGGTATGGAAAGAGCTAATTAAGTGTTGGATGTTCTTTGTTGGGTTGTTGGTGCTGTCATAGCTCAAGCAGATCTACAGGTACACCTTTTGTGTGCTGGGTGTTGATGGTTCATTGGCTGGTCAACATGAATACGGGTGTTTTCAGTTCCTCTGTTGCCTCTGGTGTTTAAGGAGGTATAGGCTGAGAGGAGGAGGAGTATTTTCAGCTATCTTGTCAGGTTTGAATGATTTTCAGTGACCTCATCTCTCAAGGTATCATTTGGTCAACAGGAAGCCGCCTCCCCCTCCTTCCTCTTTGAATGAAACAATGGATTTTAAAATGTGAACAACATTACCTTACACTACCATTCAAAAGTTTGGAATCAGTCATTTGTTTTTGAAAGAAATGAATAGTTTTATTCAGCAAGGATGCATTAAATTATTCAAAAGTGACATTTAATACATGTTACAAAAGATTTGTTTCAATGCAGTTCTTTTGAACTTTCTTTTCATCAAAGAATCCTGAAAAATAGAAAAAGCTGAAAATTCAGCTTTGCCATCACAGGAATTGATTACATTTTAAAATATATTAAACTAGAACAGTTATTTAAAAGTTATAGTAACATTTTACAATATTACTAGTTTTACTGTATTTTTTATCAAATAAATGCTGCTTTGTTGAGCATAAGAAACTTAAAAAAAAAGAAAAAATGTATAGACCCTAAAATTTTGAACGGTAGTGTAATAGCATGACTCTGAAATGTTTGATTTATTGCTATTAATTAATTTTATAAATTGACATCAAATCTGTGCAATTCATGAATGAGATTTAATATTGTATATTTTCTTAAAATGTAAAAACTCTCATTGTGGTTGCATGAATTGATTTGATCATTCAGTGGCCCACAGAACTGAATTTTTCACCTCAGGGAGTAAATCTCACGTTTGAGATAATGAATATCAATCTTTCACCAAGTATTAATTATTTAGCTGATTAATTAATATATTATTTCTTCTTTTTTCCCCTTTCTTTTCCACTTCTCTTGTTGTCTCTCTCTGTCTATCTTCTGGTTGTTGGCCAGTGTGGGGATATGGTTTCCTGTGTGTGACAGTGATATCTCTGTGTTCACTTTTCGGGGCGAGTGTGGTTCCCTTCATGAGGAAAACCTTTTACAAGCGGTTGCTGCTGTACTTCATAGCCCTGGCCATTGGTACTCTGTACTCCAACGCCCTCTTTCAACTAATCCCAGAGGTAGAGTGGACACGTGGGGGAAACGGGTTTATAGACGTGTGCCACACAACCAGACTGAAGACCGTTCTAATTCCACTCTATCTAGAGTTCTAGATTTTAGAGTTTATATGTCGAGTCTGGCATTTAAAGGAGTTGTTCACTCAAAAGGAAACTGTTTAAGTTACTTACCCACATGTCGTTCCAGACGTTATGTACAGAACAAATGAAAATATTTTATGCAAAATCAAGAAAACGTTGAGTTATCTCTACACATTTTTAGGTTTTATCTTTCTTTATGCAAATTATTTATTCTATTTGTCTTTCCCTTATATTCTTTTAAATATGTTTACTTTTTTTTCTATTAAACTTGATTTATTTATTTATTAACTATTTTATGCAATGTCCAAACTGCTGTTTTCTGTACAATAAAAATGGATTTGATGAAGATGTTTATTGCAGTATAGCAGTGACAAAGTACATGTAGTATCTTGGGTTCAACGGAGTCGGAATGAACCCCAAACATCCTAAACTCAAACCTTTTATACAGTTACAGTTTGCTTCCCTTAATGTAAATGAAGTTGCTCCTTTCGTAACAACTGTATGCTAATGAAGTTCTGACACCCCATTGTCTTGAGATGGTTCTCGGTGTCCCACACCCATTCCCATTCTACAATTGGTTACCTTTTGCTCATGATGTGATCATTCCAAATGGTGCAGAAACAACATAACTGTTGACTTTCTTGTCCTCTGTAATAATTAAGCCATTTTGGGAAAGGAGCATGATCAAACATCTGTTGTGGAGTGGAATCTGAGTCGGGGCAGACTACAGTTTCTTACACTGTCAAGCTCAAAAAAGGACATAAAAGTATTAAAATAGACTAGTTTAGACTCCCGATACGCAAATACTTACAGTACATAATATTTAGTGTTTCCTGAAGCCGATCAATAGAAGTTGGTCGGTGTGACTTTGAATCATTCTTATTGTATGCGAAATAGCAGATTGGACATTGTGCAAAAAAAAAAAGAAAAAAAGAAATCTATTTTTGTGTTCTAAATAATAAAAATAGTATGTTTTGGATAGGGATGTAACGATTCACTCAACTCACGATTCGATTCGATTCACGATTTTGATTTCACGATTCGATTCAATTCACGATTTTTTATTATTTATATTTTATTTTTTTTGCAAAATGAGATTTAAGACAAATTATAAATTAAATGTGTCCTTTTATTATTGCTTGGACAAAATGCTGCACATTTCTTTGTGAAATTAAAATATAACACTATAATAATATACTAATATAGCACTTGCATTATTATTGCTCTTAACTATTTTCGATGACGAAATAGAGCAAAATCAGACAATAGTGTTATAGTCCGACAATGTAAGTCACTTAATATTAACTTCTTGTTTATTGAATTGTATTGTATTAAATCAGTATCACATTTACACACTCCCTTAAAAATCATTAAAAGCTGTCACTCATCTTAGCTCATCGCGGTCTCACATTTATAATCAAGGAAGCTCTCTACACTGCGCAGTGAATCTCTTATTTACACCGTCTACACTTCGCTTATGAAAGGATTCGTGAGATATGTGTGTGATACATTACTCAACGCTGCAAAAACACGTAGAAACCTTTGAAGCTCCCCTGAGCGCAGTCACAAGTATGATGATGATCGGGTCAGTCGCACTGGTGCTCCTAAAAATTTCATAGTCGCACGCAGTAGTTTTCAGTCGCAAATGCAACTGAAATAGTCGCACTGTAGAGCCCTGCATCTAAACTTTTCTAAAGACAGCAAGTTCCCCTCAGACATGGATTCATAAACTACCCCTAAATGAATCGCGATTTGTTTAGCATCTCAACCGATTTGAATCGTCACATATTTGAATCGATTTTCAACCGGCTCGCGGTTAATCGTTACATCCCTAGTTTTTGAACAATGTGAGGGGTGAGTAACTGATGACAGAATTGTCATTTTCAGGTGAACATTCCCTTTAAGCACACATATAAGTCTTTCTGGCCTCAGTGGTTCTCCCCAGCTGGAGGCCTAGAAAATAGAGTAAACAACGATCAGTAAACTTTGTATTGATCCATAGAAGAGTTCTCACTGGACTTATTATAATCATAGTAATGACCATTTAATGTACTTTTTTGAGGCAAGATGTCATGGAACTGGAGCACACATTTAAGTTTTACATTTATCTGACTGTGAACTGTTCAAATGTATTCTTATAAGTGAATGGCCCAATTCGTGAAAAAAAAAAAAAATTCATAATACAGCGGTGAAAAGCCAAACAAAATGGGGGTGGGGGGAAGCCCTGAGGCATTAATGAACTACACTAAGACCCCATCTAAAATAAATCCCATACTCACTCTTCTTGACAGCTTGTAACCAAGTGTGAAATAAATGTGAAGAATACGGTTTTAAAAAGCCCAATTGATTGTTTCTGGTGTCTAGGAGAGTGATTAGGGGTTTGTATTTAGATTGTATGTATTATGTACTCATTCAGTCTGCTAACACATATGCAGCGTTCTCTACTGTTCAAAGGTTTGGGGTCTTATGTGAAATATTTTTACTATTTAAAATAACTGTAATTTATTCCTGTGATGCCAAAGCTGAATATTCAGCAGCCATTTCTCCAGTCTTCAGTGTCACATGATCCTTCAGAAAATATTACAATATACTGATTTGATGCTCTGAAGGCATTTCTTGTTATCAATGTTGAAAACTGCTTTACTTTCTTGTGGAAACTGCTACATATTTAATTTTTTAGGATTATTTTATGAATAAGGTTCAAAAGAACAGCATTGTAGCAATATAAAAGTCTTTACTGTCACTTTTGATCAATTTAATGCATTCTTGCTAAATAAAAGTATTATTATTTTTGTATCTTACTGACCCCAAACTTTTAAATTGTAGTGCTTTTCAGCATTCTGTGCCTAATTTTATGTTAATAAAAACGCAAGTTTTCATGATTTGAGGTTAATAACAAATGCTATATTATTTTATATTAGTTTGAATAAAGTAGTATTTGACATCTTAAAACATGCTTTTTTTCTGTATATAGGCCTTTGGATTTGACCCCATGGAAGATTATTATGTGCCCAAGTCTGCTGTCGTGTTTGGAGGATTCTACCTGTTCTTCTTTACAGAGAAAATCCTGAAGATGATCTTAAAGCCAAAGGACAGGGTGAGCTTGGACTAATGATCTGTTTGCGTAAACCATGAAACAGCTTTATCTGACATTGTCATTGTGACATGGGTTCCCAGTGACATCAAAAAAAGCACAAGGAGGATTTTACTTTTAGAACTTTGTAAAGTTCAATCTCATGAAGTTTTGCTTTGGAATGTGTGAACTGTATGTACAATATGTGCATGTCTGGTTGTCGCTCCTCAGGGGCTGCACTATTCATTTGTAGTATTCTTTGAAAGACAATTTGAAAAAGATGTTAAAAAAGGAACCTAAAAAGCGTAAGTCATAAAAATACATTAACTGTTTTGTTGTAGTCTGTAATGGTTTGGCCAGAGCCAGCAAATCATTTTACATGAATCAGAAGATTTATTATTGAACTTTTTGCTTTTGAGATTGTAATGTGTTGTAATGCAGCACCCTCTAGTGAAGAAATGTCTTTGCAAGCTTATTTACTCACGCTCATTTTTTCTGCTTGCATTTCTTATCGAATTGTCTCTTGTGTTAGGGGGGGCATGGCCACGGCCACAGTCACTTTCCTTCAGAGCGCTATGCCAACTCTAATGGTGACTTGGAAGATGGTGTGATGGAGAAACTGCAGAATGGAGAGGCTGGAGAAGCATCTTTACCCAGAGTGGAAAGTGATGCCAGAGGGCTTGGAGAAGATGACAAAATGATCAGCGCTGGGCAGACAGTACAGGTGAGGAATAAAAGAAACTACAAATTTCAATTTGCTTAAAAATATTTTCCAGTTCACAAAATTATTTAATATTTGAGAACAAATGTGGTAATCTGTCGTTTCAATTAATTGGGCATAAGTGACTCTAAGCCTCACCCACAATTATATCCCTTAAAAACAACTTGAAATCAAAATTGACCCTATTTAGTTCTGGCATGTTAATGTCATGCCAGTATTACTGTAATTATGATTTTCCAGCTTGTAAAAACTTTCCAGATCTTGGTTGAATTTATAATTACAGCTTGGAAACTCAATTTATGAATGCTCTGACTTTTTTTCATTCATCTGTGAATAATGACTGATGACGTCATGTAAACGAAACCAAAATATAATGAATGTGCTTCAAGAGCATATAGATGTGAACAATAATATAGTAATTTTGCTGTCATCAAAGCCAGTCATGTTGTGAGAGTTGCCATAGAAACACATTTTTCTGAGTCTGAGGACGTGAATGGCATCTCCGAGTTGTCTTCTTATAATTGCCATAATTTCAGGACAATGTAAATGCGACATGATTCATCAGCGCGTTAGGTTTTTGAAGGAAAAAATTGTTTTTATAACTTTCATTAAAATGCAACAACATCTATATCGAAAACAACTTGTTCTTATCAGAGCTACAAGAACCCTGCAGAAGCTAAAAGAATATGTTTTGTGATTCAATCAAATTCTAATGGATAAAATTAGTACCAGACTACATTATATCACTCTCTCTATATTAAGTCATTCAAAAATCAGATTTAATGTTGCAGACATCAAATGCATTGCCAGTGTTGTTTCATCTTATTTTGGGTGCTGTTCCTCTAAGGTTACAAATAGAGGTATAAAAAAAAAAAATCTAAATAGAAATCTTTTGTAACAATATACAGTAAGTCTTTATTATCACTTAACATATACATGCTGAATAAAAGTATTAATATCTTTCAAAGAAAGAAATAAAAAACAATACTGACCTCAACAGTGGTGTATATTGTTGCAAGTATTGTAAAGTAATTGTACAAGTAATTCTGTTCTTTTTAATGTTTTATTCATCAAAGAATACTGAAAGTACCACAGGCTTAAAACAAATATGAAGCAGCACAACTGTTTCCAACATTGATAATAAATCAGCATATTAGAATGATTTCTGAAGGATCATGTGACACTAGACTGGAGTAATGGCTGAATAAATGGCATTTTACAATATATTCACATAGAAAACAGCTATTTAAATTTAATAAAATTACACAATATTACTGTTTTTACTGTGTTTTTGGTCAAATAAATGCAGCATTGGTGAGCATAAGAGAAAAGTCTTACTCCAGACGTCTGAATGGAAATGGATATTTACTGTATACACTTCTTCATTTTTCCTGTATTTGTGTCCCTCTCGCAGGACTCTCAGAGTTCAGGTGGTGCTGGAACGGGTGGATGTTATTGGCTTAAAGGCAGGGCATACTCTGACATCGGTACTCTGGCATGGATGATCACTTTGAGCGACGGTCTGCATAATTTCATTGATGGTTTGGCTATCGGAGCCTCCTTCACTGCTTCTGTGTTTCAGGGCATCAGTACATCAGTGGCAATTCTGTGTGAGGAGTTTCCACATGAGTTGGGTGGGTATTACTGACTCTGTTATACGATCAATCAAAAATGGCCTGTAGTCTACATGACTGTAGTCTGTAGTCATGTAAATGCTCTGCTGCATCTGTGTGTCCAGGTGATTTTGTAATCCTGCTAAACGCTGGCATGAGCATCCAGCAGGCACTCTTCTTTAACTTCCTGTCAGCGTGCTGCTGTTATCTGGGCATGGGCTTCGGAATCCTGGCTGGGAACAATTTCTCTCCTAACTGGATCTTTGCTCTAGCCGGAGGCATGTTCCTCTACATTGCACTGGCTGATATGGTAAGAATGTGATGCTGTTCATTTGCTGGCTTTAAATGACTGGGGGGGGATTGCGTTCATTTTTGTTGATTCCTGAGGGTGAGTTTCTATGATCAGTGAAGTGTAAAAGAAGTGATTACCAGTGCTATTGCAGGGTTTCTGCAAGCTTTAAAAAGGTCTTAAAAATTCTTAATTTACACTTCAACAATTTAAGGCAGGGGTCTCCAAACTCGGTCCTGGAGGGCCGGTGTCCTGCAGAGTTTAGCTCCAACCCTGATTAAACTCACCTGAACCAGCTAATCAAGGTCTTACTAGGCATACTAGAAACTTCCAGGCAGGTGTGTTGAGGCAAGTTGGACCCCCAGGACTGAGTTTGGAGCAGAAAGTCTTAAATTTAAAGTCATGGCATTAAATGCTGCTTGCACTGAAAAAGAAAAAAAAAAAAAAAAAATTGTCTTCCTCAGTATTTTTGAAAACAATTAACTCTTGTTTTCTGAGAAATTAAACAAAATTAAATGAGTTTATTCTTAAAACACAAACAATATCTGTCAGTGCAGTGTGAAAATTACTTTTCTGTTGGAATTAATTTGACTTTTCTAAGCCCATTGCCAGATATTTGTTCTTCACATTTCACAGAAAACAAGACTTCTTATCATATGTAATTTTGTTTCTCAAGTAAATGTACCTTGTTTTAAGAGTCTTTAGAGATTTGCACTGGAAAACAATACAAAAATTCATAATTCAAATTCCATCTTCAAATTCTAATGTTTGGGAGCAAAGGTGTTTTGCTAGCTTTATGCAATTTTTTTGTAAAACGATTTAAACAGTTGAATTAAAAAGAAATTGTATCTTTAAAGGTGACACATCATGAAAATCTGACTTTTCCAGGTTTTAAGTGCTATAATCAGGTCCCCGGTGCATCTACCAACCAAGGAAACGTGAAAAAGATTAACCCAGTAGTTTTAGTAAGCCTTTTTCTGCAAGCGTCTGAGAAAACGAGCACGTCTGATTTCGCTCCCTTGGTGACGTGGCAAAGGGATCTCATTTTAATATTACCGCCCCTTAATCTGTAAGTTTCAACCCACGGCGCCGTCATTTGATTTCGCAAGCGACAACGGTGTACTAGTGTGCTTCTACTAAATACTGAGCATTTTTCAGTTTTTCTTTTTTAATAAATCTGCAAAGATGTCAACAATTCTGTGTTTTTCTGTCAATATGGGGTGCTGTGTGTACATTAATGAGGAAAAAAAATTAACTTAAATGATTTTAGCAAATGGCTGCAATATAACAAAGAGTGAAAAATTTAAGGGGGTCTGAATACTTTCCGTACCCACTGTATATAAGAAGTTTAAACTAATATGGTTTAAAACACGATTTCAGCGCGATAAACATTATAATCGGAACCAAAACAGATGTTTTTAGCAGGTCCAAGCTGTAATGGCACAGCTTTATTCTGGAAAAGTTGGAGGGGAGCAGCAGCTCATTTGCATTTAAAGAGACACGAAAAACAGCGTGTTTCTGCTTCCACACAAAATAGGCATTTTCAAAATGATATAATAAATGATCTGTGGAGTATTTTGAGCTGAAACTTCAGACACATTCTGGGGACACCAGAAACTTATATTAACAAAAATATTAAGCAGCATTGATAAGTGTCTTGAGGATCAAATCAGCATTTCTGAAGGATCGTGTGACAGAAAAAATGAAGTAATGACTGATGAAAATTCACATTAAAATATATTAAAATAGAAAAACGTTTATTTTTAATTGTAATAATTTTTTACTTTCTTTTTTGCTGTATTTTTTGATCAAATAAATGCAGCCTTGGTGAGAATAAGAAACTTGATAGCTGTCTAACTTGATAACTATGAAAACAGAGAATGTCATTACTCATGTGGTTATCCCAAAATTGATGCTGTTGATTTTATAATTTTTTCTTACAATCCATGTGACTCCATCTTCCTTTGTTCCTGCAGTTTCCTGAGATGAATGAGGTGAGTCGTGAAGAAGAGGAGGCCGGAGGAAGTGGATCTCTGCTAACTTTTGCCATCCAGAACGCAGGGCTGCTCACTGGGTTTGGCATCATGCTTGTACTTACCATTTACTCTGGACAGATACAGCTTGGATAGCAGAGGACCTAAATACAAACTCAGACACTAAAGGACTTATCTCAGCACCTGGACTAAAACCTGAGACCTACTGGGACCTCCAGACTTTAATATGAGCCAGCTGTGCTGGCTTGTTTTAAAACGTTTGCCCAGCTGGACTAGGTCATGACATAAATTGAAATGTTTTGGGCATAGTTTGGGCTCAGAGTAAACCCTGGACTGTTTAAACGAGGCTAGAATTGACTGACCCGTGAACTTTGCTTTAGATTCATCCAAAACCTGGGACCTGTTGATGGATGTGGTACCATTCATCTAGTTTAGGCCTTCTCTGGTTCCTTCGCCTCAGCTTTAGGACACAGTGATGTCTCTGTACCGTGTGGATTCTCGTTCCCCAACATATACATCTGGGCATTTTTGTATTGATTTCTAATGTTCTCATTATTTAATTTTTATTGTGTTTTTCAACAAAATGTCTCTTTCCCTCAGAGATGGGCCTTTCTCGTAATCCTGACCATGAGATTTAGAGTATTGTCCACTAACTGATGAGTAACATATGGGATGAAACTTGACTCGTTTTACTGACATTTAAAGCGACATTTAAAGATGTAAAGCGCTTTGGGTGTAGAGCGATACACAATAAAGCGCTATATAAATGCATCATTCATTCATTCATTCATTTAGTCAAATGTAGGTTGTTTCCTATGCTTCATACCAAATGTTTATTCAAAAGAAAAAATCTAAACCATTAAAACAAAATAATACCCCTAGGTTTTTCCAATGCTTAGGGACAAGACATAGATACAGTCTCACTAGTTAGCTGGCATTCATAATTCTGCTAAACTGAACGTCATGTAGGTCACTTTAATCAAAGGTTACTGTGCACTGTTGCACAAGTAGGTTTAAGTTTAGATACAATACAGCGTCTGTTCACAGATTGATCGTTATTTAATTTTTCCCCTCAATGTCATTCCGTAATGGCAAGCAAAAACAGTAAACGCTTGAAACAAAAAGGCACTAATTCTTTTTTTATTGAAGGTTTTTATTTTACCTCTTTAACAAAAAAGCAGAGACCAAGGTTCTTCTAGAAAAATGTCTTCTAACTTTTATCTTTTCATTTACATGACCAGAATAAGTGGCGCATATTTTCACAAACACCCTCCTATTATTTGTACTTTGTATAACTTTGCGTATTAATTGACAGAGAAAAATGAACACACCAACCTCAATTAGTTATAATTGCCTTTAATTATTATGATAATTACTCTTACAAAACTCTATAAAACACCTATTTTCCACATGCTTTTGTTTGATCTGAATGCCGTACTCTTCATAATTTAAGAAATAATTAGGAAATGTAGGCAAAATGTGTGCATAAAGGTGTTGTAGTGTTTCTGTAATAATATGATCATTCCTCTACATATAGCACTGCAGCACAATACTTAGAGCTCTTTGCTAACTTAGCATCTAGACTGACAGAAATCATTTTGAATATCGTTGGATTTAAAGCTGAAGTGTGTAATTTCTAAGGCACTAGTTTAGTCAAATGTTATTGCAAAATGCAGACTGTTTTGAAATAGATTGCCTGACTGCTACCATTGGTTGCCATCCCAAACTCACGCTATTTGTTGAGCCAGTCTAAAATATTTTTTTTCAAATTCAGTGTTTAAACCTTTAGGGATAAAATCACCCAACAAATGACTTGCTTATAAAATGTATGTCTGCTTATTAAGATGGGATAGGAGAATAAAAAATAAAAAAAAATTTATATTGAAAAAATGACACTTCAGCGTTAATGTTTTAGAAGTCAGTTTTAGAAGTGAAATTTAGAAGTCAATTCCTAATTTTAAAGTCAGCTAGTAATATTATACATGATCTATGATACAGGTGTTGAATTCCTATGCAGCAGAATATAATTTCAATGGTTAGAACAAGCTATGAGATTATTCAGAAATTGATCTTACAATTCTGATCAACCTTTGCTCACAGTAGATCCCTTGGTATCACTTTTGTCTTCCACATAAAATGTATTTTCCATTATGCTTCCATTGCTTAATAGTCATGCTATATTCGTATCTGCTGTTGCACTGCTAGTTTAAAGGTGTAACATACAGTACATCAGTTGAACCTGATCCCCCAGTATGCTGTTGAGCAAATAGCTAATAGATCATCATATGAAAGGTCATTTTAGCTCTGTATGAAGTGAACGTGATAAGGTCTTGTGCGTATAGTCAACAACAGATCTGAGTGTAACTTACTATCAGCGTAAATTTTTTTTAAATGCCCCTTTGTTTGTTAAGTTTATGTAGTTGCATTCAGCTTTGTGTGCAGCCATTGTTTCAGCTGGCGTCTTATTGCACACGTTCTCTGAAGTGAGTTTATGCCTTAAAGAGAGGAGGTAGTCTCAACGCCATGCATCATTCAGTGGTAAAAAGTTTTACGTTTTTGTACCTCATTTTAAATTCAGTAATATAAAAAAAAAAAAAAAAAAAAAAAAAAAAAAAAAAAAAAAAAAAAAAAAAAAAAAAAAATGGTAAGTGTAGAATGTGTGTGAATGTCCATTTGTGATTTTTTTTTTAAGTCATTGATTTATGTATTTTGTCATCAGTAATTGTATTTAAATGATAAACTGTTTTGTTTCAATTTTTGTCAGCAATTTTTTTTTTTTGTGGCAGTTGAGAGCAAGTGTACCTGTTATGATGAAGGCATTTTTTTTAAATTACTGTAAACATCTCAAGTGTTGTGAGTCATGATACCTGTGCAACATGTGAAATCTGATTGCTGGTAACTGTTTTTTTAATTATTATTTAAATATTAAGCCATGAGCTTTCAGTTCATCTTTTGTGCAATGAAAAAAAAAAGAAAAACATGATACAATCTGATCCAAAACTGACTCATTCATTTAATGTGGTCTTGGTTTCTCGATTTTTAAATGATAGCAGTGACACTGATTATTTAAGGGAATTATTTTACTTTATGGCTATGCAAATCATTTATAGTTATATTGATAAAATATGATTTTTTTTTATAAGCAACTTGAATTGTCGATCGAAACGTTGGCAGTAATATGCAGCTACGTGTGAATATTCATGATATTCAGATTCTTATTAATATATGCTTTTAATTTAAGTTTGAGATGGACCTCAGTAATTAACTCTTCATTAGGTTTGCGTTTTAATGTGCTTTAAACCATTCTTAAATTCTTAATACATCTATGAATATTGATGAGTAAGGAATCGTGCAATTTCACACGTGAAGAATCGAAACATTCGTAAAATAGTCTCTCGTTCTTTACTGCTGACTTTAAAAGCAACTTTTTGTCCTTAGGTTACAGTTATACTTCTTAAGCTATCAATTGTGGTAGAATATGTGGTAGAACACTGAGTCACTGTGCTGAACAGCTTAGTGGAGTTCTCCTCTTACTTTTTCAATCTTCTCTAGATCTAGGGTTGGTACGAGATTTGTGGAAAAGCTCAATTATTGTACCTATACCTAAAAAAGCAAAGCCAGAATTGTTGAATGACTACCGTCCTATTGCCTTGACTTCTTTGGTCATGAAGGCTTTTGAAAAAGAGATAAAGTATGTGATGACAGTTGTTGGAAAACTTTTAGATCCGTTGCAGTGTGCATATCGTGCTGGAAGAGGCGTATAGAGGATGCAAAACTGTTTCTGTTTTAACAGATAGGAAACAAAAGGTTAGAGTTAATGGGGTCTTATCCGACACGTTAAATATTTCTATAGGTTCACCACAAGGCTGTGTACTTTCTCTGGTTCTTTTAATTTTATATACAAATGATTGTCAGAGTTTGTACAATAATAGCTATTTGGTAAAAATATGCAGACGATACTGTGCTTCTGTCTTTGCTGTCATATCCAGATCAGGAATATGGTCCGGTTTTGGATGATTTTATTTTATGGTGTAATAGGATGAAATTAGATTTGAATGTGTCAAAAACGAAAGAGATGATCATCAATTTTAGTAAGAAAACACTTGCACCTCAAAGGGTGGTCATTAATGACAAACGGGTTCATGTAGTGGAAGAATACAAGTATTTAGGAACGATTATTGATAATAGGCTGAAGTTTGATCAAAACACAGATGCAATCATTAAAAAGTCACATCAAAGATTGTATGTGTTGAGGAAGCTGAATTCTTTTAATGTACAGAGAGTCATTCTCAGGACTTTCTATAATTCATTTGTTGAAAGTATCCTGTCCTTTTCCTTTATTTGTTGGTTTTCCTTATTGTCTACAAAGAGCAAAAATCGTTTGCAAGGTTTTGTTAATATGTGCTCAAAAATCTTAGGTGTTCCCTTGCGAAGTTTGTGTGTTTGTTTACGCCAGGGGTGTCCAAACTCGGTCCTGGAGGGCCGGTGTCCTGCAGAGTTTAGCTCCAACCCTAATCAAACACACCTGAACCAGCTAATCAAGCTCTTACTAGGCATGCTAGAAACTTCCCGGCAGGTGTGTTGAGGCAAGTTGGAGCTAAACTCTGCAGGACACCGGCCCTCCAGGACCGAGTTTGGGCACCCCTGGTTTACGCTCACAACAAACCGTCGAGTTCTTAAAAAGTCTCAGTGGCTAAAACACCTTCAGGAATAGAGTCGTTTACAATATTACAACTTAAATATTTCAAGTCTCCTCCAACATTTCATCAACTAAAGGATGATAGCAATATCACCTGACTTCTACTAACGATGTGAATTAATAAATCAGAAGGAGTCACTCACTTCACTGGCGCTGTGAATCATGTCAGGAGTCGACTATGCGAATCACAAAGCTCTTTAAATCATTATACAGGTACAACAACATTAGCTTATATTCGTATTTTCTGTATAATTTTAAATAAATATAGAGATGTTACATACCAATATTTAATTCAATGTGTACAAACGTACGCTGCAATCTTGGTAACTTCATTTTATAACAATTCATTCTTTATTTAACAATGTATAACAATACTATTCGAAAGTTTAATCTTCAAAAGCTTGAAGGCACTCGTTTATTTATTTACTATATTTAATATATATTTTAATATTGAATAAATTGCAACTTCATTACACACTATAAAGTTTGAACGCACCTATTTATTTACCTTATCTACATATGCATACTGTTGTATAAAATGTAAATAACATTAATCTAACTTTTATCCTTAAAAGTTTATTTATTTATTAGTTTATTTATTTATTTCAAAGGACTTCAATTTTGAAGCTTTATTTTGGGGCATTCCCGTTATCGTCACATTTCGCACACCCAACTGCTAAATGTGTCCCAAGTCTAAAAGTTGCACGAGGACGAGTTCAAAACTTTGCAATCCTAATAAATGTGCACGTGCAATGATAATGCTTTGCACAGATAGCAGCATTAAACGAAATACATGATATGCACGTTTCTTGTGCCTGGAGAGTTTCATTTATTGCCTCTTGTCTGCAAGCTGCAGCGAGTCCTTGACTGTTAAACAGTTACAAGGTACGTTAAGAGAGAGAGAGGTAGACCTTTGTCACAATGTCATGACTGAGAACCACATGTGTTTCATACCGAGTTTGCGTACGACGCCTAAGTTGATATTAAAACATCTCGGCTTATTTTAACCAGAAACAATGTTGTGCAAATATAAGGACAAAATCCATCTCTGTATGTTCATAGTGCTGCTCCTTCAGCTGTTTTCCAGGACTGCAGGTAAGCTCTTCTTACATGTACTGGAGTAATTGTTCTGTCTTCTAGAGAATGCAGTTGCAGCAATATGTCTTTACTTCCTTTCTCAGCGCAGTCATGTGCCAGGAGCTGTGGTGAGAAGTTTAACACATGCTCCTGTCATGCAACATGTGAATCTCTGAAGGACTGCTGTGCAGATTATAAACAGTTTTGCCTTGATATTGAACCACACTCTGGATCTTTGCTGGGAGGCACAGACTTCAAAATCCGCAACGCTACATTTGAGCAGAACATTAACCTCGCTTGCAGGTAAGAGTGCCAGAAATCTGTTGATGTTCTCTGAAGCGCACAAGTCAACTGTTCATAAACACTGAAGACATTCGTACCTTGCAAGTTTACTGTAATGTCACAACACAATGTGTTTAAGTATTTGTTAACCGAAAAAATAAAATTTCTCATGTCCCATTTGTGTGTGTGTGTTTGCCTTGATATTGAACCACACTCTGGATCTTTGCTGGGAGGCACAGACTTCAAAATCCGCAACGCTACATTTGAGCAGAACATTAACCTCGCTTGCAGGTAAGAGTGCCAGAAATCTGTTGATGTTCTCTGAAGCGCACAAGTCAACTGTTCATAAACACTGAAGACATTCGTACCTTGCAAGTTTACTGTAATGTCACAACACAATGTGTTTAAGTATTTGTTCACCGAAAAAATAAAATTTCTCATGTCCCATTTGTGTGTGTGTGTGTGTATGTATGTATGTATGTATGTATATGTGTGTGTGTGTGTGTATATAGAACATTAACCTCGCTTGCAGGTAAGAGTGCCAGAAATCTGTTGATGTTCTCTGAAGCGCACAAGTCAACTGTTCATAAACACTGAAGACATTCCTTCCTTGCAAGTTTACTGTAATGTCACAACACAATGTGTTTAAGTATTTGTTCACCGAAAAAATAAAATTTCTCATGTCCCATTTGTGTGTGTGTGTGTGTATGTATGTATGTATGTATGTATATGTGTGTGTGTGTGTGTGTGTGTATATGTATAATGAAGATCATCTTGTCCAGGTTATCT